AGAACGTCTGAAATATTTGGGAGAGGGTATTTGTCATCTATTGTCTTGTCATGAACTTTGCGGTAATCAACAACTATTCTCCATTTACGTTTTCCGGATGCGTCAAGTTTTTTGGGAACGACCCAAATCGGAGAGGACCAGGGTGAATTGCTATGTCTAATAATCTGTTGGTCAAGCATTTCGTTAATTTGGCGTTGGACTTCTTCTCTGTGGATTATTGGGTATCTATAGGATTTGGTGTAGACAGGAATTTCGTCGGTTGTGCGTATCTTATGTTTAACCTGGTTTGTAAAAGTCAGTTTGTCATCTGGTTTATGAAAAGTGTCTTTATATTTTTTGCAAATTCTTAAAATAGCATTTTTCTCTTCGAAATTCATGTGGTCAGTCCGTATTAGGTTCTCAATATCCGAAAAATCTATATTTGAGTCAGATTTGTCTGTACAAAAATTATAAAATTCTATTTCGTTTGTGAGTTCTACTTGTAAAGGTTTGGTTAATGTTAAATTAATTTCGTTTTCTGTTAGGTTATGAATTTCAACTATGGCTTCATTGTTTTTTGCTAATGTTACGGTATCTGGAATGAAACAATTTGGAAAATTTTGCCTTGTGATTAAAATTTCACCTTCTTTAATGTTAACTGGGACTTTACATTTTTGAATGCATCTTTCTGGTATCTGTTGACTAAAAAGTATTTTTTTTGGACTTTTCAAATAATGTAAATTTAAATTAGTATTAGGTAATACTAGCAATTCATTATTAAAATCAATGAGCGCCTTCAATTTTTTAAGGTTATCAATTCCTAACAACCCATTGAAGGTTTCGTGAAACTTAAATAGATGGAATGAAAGATTTTCATTATTTTGGAATTCACTGAAGCTTGGGATGTTGCATGCAAAATTTTCTGTGTGCGTCGATAGAGCTGTTTTTATTGTACAGGGGTCAAAATAAATGGAACTTTTGAAATATCTATTAGCAATCTCTGGGCAAATAAATGATTTCGTTGAGCCTGAATCAATTAAAATTTTTAGGTCTGGATTCCTTATTTGAATATAAGGAAAAGAATAATTTTGAAAACTGTGAAATTCAACTATGTTTGATTTTGTCGTTGTTCGTCGAGAAGTGAACTGTATGGCTGTTTAACGTGTGCTATGAATACGGCCAAGGCACTTTTTTGGAAGTTGTTGCATCTATCTAGGATGATTTCTTTGTTTGTAAGGTGTAAGTATATATAATTATTATAAATTGTAATCAAATTTTGAAATCTTTCATAGAACTGATAAACGGTTTCATTTGGTAATTGTCTCATATGATGGAGATCAAAAGTTAAAGATATATCATCTCTACGGTCTGAAAATTTTGATATTAGTACCCTAACTATATCATCTATTTCTCTAGCATTGGCAATTTCTATAGCATATTTAGCATTGTCATATAGTTTCGAAAAAACTGCACTCCTAATAATTTCGTTCTGTATACATGTCGGATTACTACTGTCATGATATCTATTCTTGATTTCCCTAACTCTTGAAATAAATGAATTTAGTTCTGCGGGGTTACCGCCAAAATTTGGAATAGTGTCGATCAATATATGATCAAATTTGGGGATGTTTTGAAGGGACATATTTGCTAATGAGTTTGCTAAGTTCTCTATAAAATCAATACTACTTTCCATAAACTAATTCGCGTACGTGGAATTGTTTCAATGGAATGCAAAAATAAAATAAACTTGTATATATATTATTTAATCAATTAATTAATTAAGAAAATTTAAACTGTAAAAATTGCTTTTCTTATCTCCAGCGATTGAAGGATAAGGGAGGATGGCAATTTTACTATCAATTACAATTTTTCACTCACCAGTTCAGGATGTTTCGGCGAATTTCCTCTTCGCACTTTTTTCACACAATATATTTTTTTCACTTGCACTTTTGCACACTATGAATTACAATCACCTTTGAATTGATTGGAAATCCTGCGATAGGCCTTCCCGAATTCAATCCTATTGATTTTTCTATCACTTATACTAATTATTGGTTCCAAATTCTAAATGATTGAGATCAACGGATATCTGCGATAGATGATCCTGAATTGATCCTATCGATTTTTCTATCACTTTTACTAATTATTGGTTCTGAATTCTAAATGATTGAAATCAATGGATATCTGCGATAGACGATCCCGAATTCAATCCTACCGACTGCGCCAATTTTATACTCGTTATTCGAGAATAAAATAAAAAAACTTTATTTCTTAAAATTACAATAAAATATATAAAATAATTGAATTTTACAATATAATGATATAATGAATTATAATTATATAACTGAACTGGTGTAAGTACTGGCAAAGATTATCCTCCTCGAATGTAGAGATCTTGCTACTTATAAAAATATGCTTCATCAGCAAGGAGGATCTTGTGGCTAGATATAAGCTATGTCAGCGGGATGGATCCCGTAACTCTATAGTGATTTTGAGATAGGATTCTGAAGAGAAAAAGATGAAGTATGTTTGTTCGAACAAGTTTTCATTGTTGTATTGAGTCCGCGCCCTACATTAACATGATCTGTAGACCGCATTGCTTTTAAAAAGTCATATTAATAAAATTTTCATAATAATTTCTATTTATATACAAGTAGATCACTTTTTGTTATTTTACTGTGAATTGACCATTAGTAGTTAAATTCCAGCTATTAGTTTTTGTGTAGATAATTCAGCTCAGTCATAACAGTGGCTTTTTTTTAAAGTGTGCGTTGGGTACGGTTGTGACATGTGGTTGTGGATTAAACAGATAAAAAAAATCAAACTTAACTGAGACAAAACACGAAAGAGAAAGATAGGGAAAAATTTAATACAAGAAAAAAATTATTTCACGAAGATTTCGAAAACAAAAGTTTTACGCGAATCGGTCTTCTTTAAACTTTAAAGCTTATTTTCCGAAAACCGATTTTTTTTTAAAATCCGTACACGATTAAAAATGAACCATAAAAGCTACATATACAAGTAAGACACCGTTTTTTAGATAATTTTATTGCCCATAGATTAAACTAAAAACATTTATTGAAAATTTTCATTTTACAATGCTGTTAACGCAATTACTCCTTAAAAAAGCCCTAAAAATCCAGTACTTTTTTAAAAAAATGTTAAAAATGTTTAAATTTCAACTTTGAACCACCATAATAGTCTATGATGTGCAGAAAAGCCTTCTGAATAAAGAAGTATTTCCATTTTTTGTTTCAGATAAAAATTACGGGCTGTACCTTGCACGGAGTTTGAGTTGTCAATCGCGAGCTGCTGCGCAAGATTGTTTATAAATTAGCCATTTTTATTTATTTTGAAATACAATAAACTTTATTTTGTTGAATAAATATGTGTTCAAAATTATGCAAAAGATCTTTAGTTTCTCTTGTTGTTTTCATGTTCAAAAAAAAATACTGAAAAATCCCTTTTTTTGTAAGCTACTGATGAGGAGACCCCCTTAACTTTGTTTAAAAGATTATGTTGTATTATGTACATATTTCAAACAATCAAAGTAATTAATTAATTTAATTTCAAACTTCAAATAATTGCTAAATGGTGAATTAACAAAATTATTATTGATAAAAAAAGTAGCACAACCGTACCCAGTCTCCCTTATTATAGATTCAAAATGGTAGAAAATAATGCTTTATTATCATTATCATTATATACAAAACAAACAAAACATAATGTTACTTAATAATAAGTATATTTACACTGCATTAAAAGTCAACATTTCAGAAGATTGACACATTGTGTGGGATGTTTAGAAAGGTTAGATATCAAATCAAAAATAGTAAGGTAAATCAAATAAGATTTTAATAATAAACATATAAAATCATAAAGGTTAATATTTATTCATAATATCCACTTTTTTATAAGTAATTTTTTTCTTACATTGGTGAAGAGCAATCAGACCATATTGTTGATGGGTATTTATATTAATTCTATGTATGATGGAATGAAACTATTAACTAAGTTATAATCTTAAGTGGAGACCGAAGTCTAAAGAGGGCTATATCATGAAAATGTAAACCTCAACAAAAATTCTCAATGATATTTTATTAATAAGCAAAAATTCCACGAATTCCAGTATTCATATACTGCTATACTGCATCTTCATATTTAATAATATATCATAGAATAGAGAATTCAACTTTTTTCTATATATAATATATCATTATAATATTATAGAACTAATAACATCTTGACATTAAACTTCATGAAGTTGCAACATTAAGCATATTTTGTATACCTTCGTGGCTCAAAATTAATTAAACTATCTGTACAATTATCATCTATAATAGTAAGTTGGATGTAGTAATTAAATAACATCAAAGGATTTCAAATATGTATTATGTATATATATGTATATATATATATATATATATATACGAGGTCTGTTCAAAAAGTACCCGGAATTTTCGTTTTTTCAAAAAAATATTTATTTATTCGTCTACATTAATGTGGTCCCCTTCAAAGTAGTCCCCCCCAGATATAATACACTTATGCCAGCGTTTTTTCCAATTTTCGAAGCACCCTTGATATTCACTTTTTGATATGTCCTTGAGCACTCTCAGCGATTTTCTTCAATCGAGGAAAACCGCCGTCCTTTCATGGGTCTCTTCAACTTTGGGAATAGGAAAAAGTCACACGGAGCCATATCTGGTGAATTTTTTACGCAAAATTTAATACAAATTCTTTGACTTTTCAATTCTTCCATTGTAAAAATCGCCGAGCTCAGAAAAACACGTCGAACCTTAGCGACTACCACAGACAAAGTAAACAGTGAATATAGCTGAAAATTTCATCATACTTTAGGGGCATGTATACCAACACAATAAAAAAAAAATTTTGACAATCAGACACTCCAGACCCGCGAAATTTAATTATTAGTAATTCCGGGTACTTTTTGAACAGACCTCGTATATATATATATATATATATAATATATATATATATATTCAGAGAACTGTATTCATTACCTGACAACTGTTCGCAGAAGCGTAGATCGAGCCTCATTGTGGAAAGTTATAATCACACTAGTAGTCGGTAGATCATCCATCCAAGTTTTCTTTCGACACCTGAAATAATAGGAAATTATATATATAATATAGTAGAAATATAAATATTTGAGTGCTATATGATACCATTGGAAAATATTTTAGTTGTGAAGTTCAATGCAGCAAAACGGTGATATATATCGTTTATGCTACTGCTAAACTACAAAAGTGGATTAATATTGAATAACAAAGTATTATTAGAATATAAGTAATTTCATTAAAAATAAATATGACAAATGAGTTTCACAATATAATTTTAAATTTAACTTTGATTAATTTATAAATAATAAAAACTTTATAATTTATAATAAACAAAACTTTAATAAACCCGAGTACTGATTTTGATATTGCTAATAAAACATGATTGCGACAGTTCAAATTAGGGCAAACTCATATTGCAAAATGATTTAATTATTAGAGCCAGAGCAGATTTTTTGCTGCCATTTAATAACAGATATAATTATTGTGTTTTTTCCAGTGTGGCAATAATATTTAGTGAAAAAGTCACCAGATCGTCACCGTATGTCAGATTATCCTGACTTGTGAAATGGTCCAGTCCAGTTATCAACTGCTCATATATGTTTTATTGGAAATCGTTTAAATCAATTTTAGGCACTCTGATATAAATGCCCTAATGTATCATATACCATATGATGCTGATGGGTGTCGAATTCAAATATCCAATAATATGAATTATTTTTGTAAGAAGTTTTATTTAACTGCCATTCCAGCTAATTGCTACTTAGTCTAAACAAAAAGCACAACTCAGATTATGGCTTGACATCAGCTAATATATTTTGAAAATATATCAAATTAAATGATTTCATTATTTTTTTCACAAATTTGTTTCCAATGTTATAAAATAATCAAGACTTTGAATGAGAATGTTCGTCTATTTTTCAAATTTCCCTGATATTTTGTATGCATTAGATATAGATCCTCATATGCGGTTTAGTACCACAAAGGCGAGATCGCAATATAAAATTTCCTTTCCGATACAGAATCTCTATAAAACTACTACAATCGCCTCATACATAAAATATTGAATTGATTTTTGATACAAAATCACCGAGACGTAATCTAGTCTTTTACTTATAGCCCCGCGGCGACTCGCGACACAAACAATGTGAACACAAAACATTCACTTGATATACGGTTGACTCAATTCTCAAAGCTTATTTTTCTGTTCAGTTTCGAACGTTTTTGTTGTAGACTGTTATTGTTCTTCTACATCCACAGCAAAGCAATTCAAACGTACAGTCGATTGGAGAAATAAGAACTGCCGAGTGTTTTGTTCGACACTTCCATATTTGTCGAGATACGAAACACTGATAGTAAAGGGATACATAAAATTAGTCAAAGATATATATATATATATATATATATATATATATATATATATATATTTATATTTATATATATCTATATATATATATATATATATATAGAATTTTATGATATGAGTGGAACGAATATTAATTGTTTAATATGAACAAAACAGCACTCAGATTTGTTTAACACAACTTTATTTTATGATTACAGACGTTTCGAGACCATGGTGTGTCTCATCTTCAGTGTAATTTCAAAAACAGTTACTTATATACTACACATTCTTTAATAATTTATTTAAATTTCATTTAATTTTTGGTATACAAAAAACACCAACTATTCCTTGCAATGCTTGACACCGTACTAATTTAACATTCAAAAATAAAAATTACAATAACATACAAAAACTAAATAACAGTCTATTGATCCTTCAGAATAAAATTTTGAAATATGAAATTGCGGACAGTGCAAAAGAAATCAGTCGATTAAATAATAATTTAATAATATCCAAACGTGTGACACAGGACTCATTAGAAGAATTAGAATTCGATAAATTTATTTTTCTAGAACAAAAGAAATACCAAAAACTTTTTGATCAGATAAAGAACAAACAATGCAACAAACTTAAGAAACTAATAGAGCTAAGAGACAAAGCACATCCGATTATCAATACAGGTTTAGATTGGAACAAATGGGTTATAAACAAAACGGATACTCATATACCAGATAATATAAAATATATATTGGCCTTAGGTCCAAAGTTTTCAATCCAACAAAAAAATTTAACATTCAATGATTCAATTAAAGTTATTAGCAGCCTAGAAGCCGGCCTTAAATTAATCAAAGATCCAGAAGGAAAAGAAATCGAACGGATAAGATTTATGTTAATGAAACAATTTACAACATTTCAAAAAACTCACAAAAACAAAGTACAGTGCAAGAATGATACATCTTACATCTACCGGGACATCATAGCTACAAAAAAATTTCTTCAAGATAACAAACAATTATTAGTATGTAAGGCAGATAAAGGAAACATTTCAGTGGTTTTGTTAAAAGAGGAATATGATAAAGAAGCAAAGAAAATTCTCAGTGATGAATCTCTATATGAAGAATTGGCATCGGATCCGAACAACTATCACCATAGACAGGTTTTTAAATTTATAAATTTATTAGAGAAAAAGGGACATATTAATAATACCATATCATTAAAGTTAAAAGTACAACATCCTTTAACCCCAAAATTCTATTGCCTTCCAAAGATCCATAAACCTAATTGCCCATTTAGACCAATTGTTTCCTACATTGATTCGCCATACTATTTTTTAGCAAAATATTTTTCAGATATTTTAAAGAATGTCACCATAGATTCTCCATACCGTTTAAATAACTCTTTCCAGTTAATAGAACATATAAAACATAAAGTAATTCCTCCTGATTGTTCCTTTATGAGTCTTGACGTCATTAATTTATTTAATAATCTTCCGCATGATCTAATTATTACAGCCATAAAGAAAAGATGGATACAAATAGTTGAATTCACTTGTTTACCGATGGAAATTTTTATTTCAGGAATAGAATTACTTTTAAAAGCATCATATTTCACTTTTAATAAAAAATATTATACGATGAAGAGAGGTTGTCCAATGGGCAGCCCATTAAGTCCTGTTTTGGCGGATTTAGTATTACAAGATTTGGAAAATCATGTCTTAAATTCTTTACCTTCCAAACCTATGGTCTATTTCAGATATGTCGATGACACATTAATATTACTTAATAAAAAAGATATAGATAATGTTTTCAACAAATTCAATGAGTACAATTCTTTTTTACAATTCACTCAGGAACTTGAAAATGATTCGACGTTACATTTTCTTGACGTAAAACTCATTAATAGAGGCGGTGTATGTTATACAGACTGGTACAGAAAAGATAGTTGGTCCGGGAGATACATTAATTTTAATTCGCATGTTCCTCTCAATATAAAAATTTCTACCATTCTAAATCTTGTAGATCACGCTATTTTATTATCTGATCCCCTGTTTTATGATACAAACATAAAATTAGTTAAAACGATCCTACTTGGCAATAATTTTCCATATAAGTTAATTTGTCCAATTATTAAAAATAGAGTCGCAAAATTACTTGAACCTTTTGATAAGAAACCGGAAGAGCCTGGCAAAACAAGTGTTCCTGAAAAAACTTTTTTCATTAATTTTCCATATCTTGACAATAATTTTAACCAATTATCAAAAAGACTTTTCAAAAAACACAATATTCGTATTACTTTTTCTCCATTAAAACAATTAAAATTTTTATATTCCAAAATTAAAGATGAAACTCCATTAACAAAAAAGAAAGATATAGTTTATAAAGTAAATTGTTTGGATTGCAATTGCTCTTATATTGGCCAGACCTGCCAGAACTTAGAAAAGAGACTCAGGCAACATGAATTACAATGTGAAAAAATAGATAACAAAAAATTTAAAAGTACACTTGTGGATCATGCTAATATCAACAACCATAAGTTTGATTTTGACAATCCCCAAATTTTATTCCATGAGAAAGACTTATTTAAACGGAGCATGGCAGAATCAATGTTAATAGTTCGGACTAACAATAGCATAAATCTAAGAACCGACACAAATATTTTACATGACACTTATATAAACATCATTAATAATTTATAAATTTTTTCATTTATCTTATTCTTTTCAATAAATTAATTTGTTTTTTCATTTTTAACGATTTTGTATGCGATAGCACTCCTTCTGTTTACATTATAATGATACCCTCTCTGTCTCCATCTATATAAGTACTTCAAATTTGTTTAGAATATTTCTGTAAGTGTTATATGTTTCTTTAGTACGGTGTCAAGCATTGCAAGGAATAGTTGGTGTTTTTTGTATACCAAAAATTAAATGAAATTTAAATAAATTATTAAAGAATGTGTAGTATATAAGTAACTGTTTTTGAAATTACACTGAAGATGAGACACACCATGGTCTCGAAACGTCTGTAATCATAAAATAAAGTTGTGTTAAACAAATCTGAGTGCTGTTTTGTTCATATTAAACAATTAATATATATATATATATATATATATATATATAAAGCGAGAGGTATATATAGAGGTATATACATATATGTATATATATATATATATATATATATATGTACTTGTATATAATTATTTGTACATGAATATATAGATATATGCATATGTATGTATTTGTATGTAGGTGTGCATATGTATGTGCATGTATATATACATAATATTTCTCAACATTTACTGAAGCAACACATTCCCATTTTTCGTCAAATACCAATACAAGAGCCATAAAAAATTATTTTTGCCTAAATTCCGTACATATCCCTTACATCTAGCCGACAGAACACCACATCAGTGTGTTAATGTCTTGTGAAGTCGAAACATTTACAAATATCTTCGGAAAAAATCGAGTGTTTTTAACAAAAAAAAAATTATGGATAATTATGAAATTATTACAGGTAAATAATTTTTGCTTCTCAATTTTATATAAGACCTTTTTTAGTTAATTTTTATTACTCTTTACTAATTTTTATTCCTTTATAATTTTTTCTAAATAATCTGTAATGACCATCAATAATTAATGTTAATCAATAGTTATAAAAAAAAACTGTCTTTGACAGAATAAACCTGATGATGGAAC